TTTTGTGCATTATGGTTATGTTGTTCCACACTGACCTGGTCTGTCAGTCCCACACTTCTAAGTTTATTCATGTGGAAAAATATATTCAGATTATAACGGCACTTGAATTGACTGAGAGCACTTGAACAGTTTCCCTTCTCTTCTCCCTCTTTACCTGGGTTTGTCTGTCCAGGCTCTGGATGTTGACCGTAGTGTTCTGTACAAGATGAAGAAGTCTGTGAAGGCCATCTACACATCTGGTCTGGGTGAGTCCTCCTGTCTGTGTACATTGTCATATACTTATCTTACCGCTCTCACTTCAGTCAGAACCCTTCAAATTCAGTTTTATGTTGAACAGTTAAAACATTCTGATGTTAAAATGATCAACTAATTGTCTAGTTATTATGAGGTTTTTTTTGTCTTTGTGTTTTTCTGATATTCAAGCAATTGAAAAATTTGTGGTCTGGACAAATTAAGCAAACAATTTCAGGACATCCAGTTGAACATTGTGTTTTGCTTTGTTTTTTTTGTTTTTTTACACAGAAGTACTAGTTTAAACCAAAAAAAGCACAATACATGACACGCAAAGGCCTTTGACTTACTGCCTTTGAGCTACATGTAAGGAAGGTAGTATTTTTGCCTCTGTGCATGTGTGTATGTGTGTGTGTGTGTGTTATTATCCTGCTCATTGAGGCTGGCTATGCCAGTGCTGGGTTTTTCCCGTGTCTTTTGTTTGACTTGCCTGACAGAACCCCACTGAGAGCGAGAAAGAGAGACCTCTGAACAATGTGCTGAGCGGCTCTTTTTCAGAACAGTGTGTGCTCTGTTCAGACCAGAGGGACAGCTGTCTAATCCAGACCCCCAGAGGAACAGCCGGGGAGGGGCGTGCACTGTGTTTGTGTGAGGGAACCGAGGCATGGACACACTCGCCTCACTATCGATTCTACATGTATATTGAAAATGTTGCCTCTTTGTGGCCAGACTCACAGGACGTGACTGTCTGATATTATTCGTGCGCAGGTGTATAAATACCCACATTGTTGATAAATTAACTTTATCTGAATCTGTGTGGAGAGCGCAACAGGGTGCACGTGCATGAGAAGAGCAGGTGTTTCAGGTAGATGAAGTTTGTTATCATTATGAATAAGAGGCAAAACTAGGAGGAGGAAAATCAGAAGGAAGGAAAATCTTCCACGTCATTGTTTTGGTTTTACTTCTCACAGCTTTACTGTTATGATAAACTCTCTCTGCATTCATCAGGCGTTTAGACAAAGACAGTGAAAGAGGTGAAAGCACAGCTTTCTCCAGAGAGGATGGTTAGATAAACCCTGAATAATGAGACACACAACGGGCCTTGACGCTTCCTGCTCCAGTACTCGATGAATACACTCCTGGTATGACTGGCTGTCAAGACCTGTACCCTGCAAGGATATTTTTAGCAATGATACTAGGAAAAGTGATGAGGAGGAGAGGATAGAAAAGTGTGAGGGGAATGGAAGGTTGGTTACCGTGGAGAGGAAAAATCAACAAGGTTACTAGAGTTACAGTGCTGGGGAGAACTGGAGGGACCTGAGCAGGCAGTGTAAGCTTATAGTTGTTTGTACAGTCTATGACTCCAGAGACCAAAAAAAAGTAGGGGACCTGAGAGTGAAAGAGGTGATACAGGGAAGGCTTATAGATGAGCAAGAGAGCCCTGTTTTGCCGCAGGGACCTGTCGGGTTGTCAGCATGTGGGTCTTGACAGACCTGCCAGAGCTGCTGTACAGATCACAACTTGAGGCAGACGAATGAACGCTGTGTTTCCAGTTGCTGGTGGGCAGGATGGACTGCACAGTGCAGCACTCTGCCTATGCACTGACTTTGATGGGCTGGGGCCCTGGGCTGCTCATGTCCTCTCACTGCCATACACACATATGCATTTCTGTCTTGGCTGCCAGGTAACCAAGGAAATCAGACTCCCACAAGCTCTGGTGTATTTCAGCTGGATGGATGTCTGAGGATAAAGGCCAGAGGAGAATAAAGGGAGAAGGAACATGCAAAAAGAAATGAAAATGAGGCGGAACCACCTCTATGCCAATTCCTCATTTAAAGGACAGTTCAACATTTTGGATTAACTGCCTTTGCTTACTTTCAGAGAGTTACATGAGAAGACTGATACGACACATCTGTACACTAAATATGAAGCTACAGGAGATGGTTAGCTTAGCTTGGCATAAAAACTGACAACAGGTGGAAACGGCTAACCTGGCTGTATTCAAATCTGCCTGCCAGGATCTTTAAAGCTCACAAAAGAACGCATTATATCTAATGTGTACAACATGCCGAGTGTAAAGAGCTTAGGAGGCTAGCTGTTTCCTCCCCTGAGCCGTCTTTAGGCTAGGCTAGGCTAAGCTAAGCTAAGTTATGACGGCACTATCCATCTTTTCATCTACTATAAGTGAACAGGCATATTTCCCAAAATGTCAAGCTGTTGTTTTTTTACTGTTACCCTCTTTTACTTATTTGTTATTTTCACATTGTTCTTTGCCTCTGTCTTCTTGGAATACAAATGCAATATGCTCCCTTCTCTCTGTGCTGGTGGCCATATTGTTAAGTGGCCATGGAATCCAGTGTTGTTTTCATAGAGCTCATAGAGATGTATGGGATTGATCTGAGGTTGGCCGCACATTGTATTAGTGAGCGTCAGAGCATCAGCTGCCCAGGCCTGATGGAGCCATGTGTGAGGGAATGAGCGTGGGAGAGACGGGGAGAGGAAGCAGAGGCCTGTCTGCTGTCTGCTGATTAAACCCTGTGTGTGTGTGTGTGTGTGTGTGTGTGTGTGTGTGTGTGTGAGAGAGATGGAAGAAGCTGCAAAACAAGCCTTTAGGATGTTAGATAATCCAGAGTAGATGCCTGGAAGCTGTACATTATGGTTTGTGTGTCTGTGTGTTTGAGAGGAAAGATACAGTACCCAACTGGGTGTGTGGCAACTAAAGAATATATTAACTGAGAAGTGTTGGTGACTTTTATTCTGGATTCATTCAAGTAAAATAAGTATGTTTTATGCTGCAGGTGCCTAAATATGGTTTTTGAGATGATTAACAGGGGACATGAGACGTTTCTGTTACACAAAGTTATGATTTGTTTTGAAGATTTGACCTTCTTATTGTATTTATGCTGATGGGTCACAAGAAGAACCTGCTTTGCTTTAAAGGGATCACAACTGAAAAATTCAAGAACCACTGATCTGAGTCATTTCAGTTTTAAATGAGACAGCAGAGATTCAGTGTTAACAGCATGACAAAAAGGTTAGGGCCTGGCTCCACAGTAAATGAAAGCTTACTTGTTTGCACCATGCAAAGCCCATGTTAATCTGTTGGAAATATTTTGGCAACATGTGCAGGTCAACACTGAATTAGCAGGTTTTGTTGACAGTGTAAACTGTAGAAAATTCCCCCTCTGTCCTTGTGTCTCACTCCGTCTGGTTCCTTTCCCTGCCACGTTGCTTATAAACTAGCTCAGCAGGTCGTGCAGCCCTTTGAGGTTCAAAGCTGCTCTGCACTGGGGGCTGCACGTGTGATGTGTTTAGGTCATGTTACAACCGATACACATGTATTCACTAAGCAGCCCGGGGGAAGCTTGGAGCGCTCATGTACCACTTCAAAAACAACTGCAAGCCACCGCCCTGTTGGTTACGAGCCTGGCAGAGCAGCAACCACACAGCTGGAGCTGATGTGTGAACAGTGGACAGCGTGCGCGTGTGTGTGGCGAGGGTTGGTGTCAGACACATGGCAGTGACTGAAGTTTATTATATTTCTTATGACACATCACTGCTTTGAGCCAGAAGCTGTTGTTAATAGAACTGCAACTAAGGATCATTTCCTCAACATTACTCATTTAATCAATGAATCATTGATCAAAATAGCTCCAGATTAATTTACTGTTGCTACGCTAATCAATTTATGTATTAATCGCTTCAAACCTATTTTTGTGCAGTGAACTTCTTTCCATAAATATACAATGAATTGATCAGTTGTTGACAGAAAAGAAATCATAAGCAGTTTTAGTAATTGGAATTTATCAAGAAGAATACGGGTTTAAGCTTCCTCAAATGTGAGAATTATTATTTGGACTGTGTTTGAACTTTTTAATGTTCTTTTTTTTTTTACTATTTTCTAATGCTTTATAGAACAGAACACACTAAAGCGTTCATCAGTTTATGCAAACAGTTTGTGAGGGCCATTTTGTTTCTGTTTTCTCCAAGTTGTAGTGGGGGAAAAACAGCTTCTATCTTAGGCACAGACTCTCTTGTGAGACTCATAATAGGCTTCTCATCCAGCTCACCCTTTACATCAGTTGATATTTAGAGCTTTAAATTAGATTTGGCTGATGCGGGGAGGTCTGCTGGTAATGACTCTGAGGCTTTCAGCTTTCTCCTTCTTAATAACATGATGGATATCACTGCGGCAGAGACGTGAGCTTATCTACCTCCATCTATAAACCTGCCACATCTGTGAACCAGTGTCTGGCTGCTTTTATCTGTCTCTGTGTGTGTTGGGCAGATTAAAAGCTGACTCACATTGGGGCAGCAGGTGTCTGTTAGTGTACATCCTCACATTTTTACACACCCGTCCTTCTCTTCTTCTTTCCTTGTTTTGGTCCCTCCCTCAGCGCCCCTACCGCTCGGCGAGGGAGCGAGTGTCGTCATAGCAACAGTGTGCTCAGTACCTCGCTCCACTGCTGTCCCAGTGGCGTTGGTTGTTGTCAGCTGCCTAGGCTGGTGTAAAATGTGTTACGTGGAATCATCTAGGCCCGACCTCGTGGTTTGATTAGGCTGACTGTAGACATGCTGGGAGACTTTGGTAATGGCTTGTTTATGGGTTTCCCTCGAGTGGTGAGCGACTGGAGCTATGTTTAGTCGGGGGGAACCAGCTTGCGTATTTTCCTCTTTGGCGTCCTTCCTGTCCCTCGTTTCTCCACGGTTCTGCCACTCATCTCTCTCTGGCTCCCTGTGGGAGTGGAATTGTTGTCAGAACTGAGATCAAAATATTCTTTTACCCACAGTGGTTCCTGTCGCTTAAGAGGACATGCAAAATCAAATGCAGAAAATATTGGCCAGGGACCAAAGCGTGTCGGCTTGAACACAGCTAATTAAGATGGAGATTTCAAAATCATATAAGATGAGAAGCGTATTCACTCCATACTCCACCATTACATTCTCTCAATTTGTTCAAAGTAGGTAGCGGCTAACAATTATTCCTGGTGTTTATTTAATTATTTAGTCTATTAAATGTCAAAAAAAGAGAAAATGTCCAGCAGAGTTTCCTGCAGTTGAATGTGACCTGCTTGTTTTGTTCATCCAACTGTCCAAAACCCAAAGATATTCAGTTTATGATGATATGAAACAGGGAAAAACAACAGGGATTACCCAGGAAAGCCTGGAGCCAACACATATTTTGCCATTTTTGCTTTACTTGATACCTTACCTCACTTACATGATAAATATATTAGCAAATTTGTTGATTAATTTTCTCATTAATGGAATAGTTTCAGCTGTATTATGAGCGCTATAAACGAGAACAAGACTCCTGCTTCTCTCCCAGGGTCTCATCTCTTCTAAACTTAGCTATGGATGTTTTGTCCATCACTTTCTGCAGCTTAGCATATTATTTTGTCTTTGCAGTTACAAAGAACTGGGCTTCCCATGCAGGGGGCAGGGCTCGGGGTTTCTTTAGCCACTACTGTCTGGTCACACTTTAATATCTGACTGAACTGTCTGTGGCCAAGCTGTATTGTAGGCAAGGAAGAAGAGTGTATGGATTTTCTTTTAGTGTTCATTATGAGTCTGACAGTGGTATAGAAAAGCAATGCTAAATCATTTGAGTATTCTTTTAAGCTTTATGGAAAAGGAACAGCGGTGATACATCACAGTGCAAACACCGTGTATTGAATGAGTGAGGAGTTTGTTTAAATATGCATTGATAACGGGATGACAGGGTGATCTATCTGGTTCAGTGGTTCACATCGATCACAACGCTGATTGAGAAAATCCTTCAAGTTTTTACGATATGAGAAGGTAGAGAGTGTAATCCGTGGGGTTTCCTACCACCTGCAGTAGACAGTTTCCCAGGGAAAACCTTGAGCTGCAATGGAAGGATTGATCTGCTGGAAAAGTGGGTCTTTGTTCACTTGCAAGGCTGCCATCTATTATTAACACACAGTGATTGATTTCTTACTTTTAACGATCAGAGAGTAAAGGACTGTGGTTCGATTGCTACCTGTGAAAGCTGACCTCTGTGTGTGTGTTGGTGTGTGTGCTTTCCAGCCCACGTGGAGAACGAGGAGCAGTACACTCAGGCCCTGGAGAGGTTTGGAGAAAACTGTGTCTACAGAGATGACCCAGACTTGGGTTCAGCCTTCCTCAAGTTCTCTGTCTTCACCAAGGAGCTCACTGCTCTCTTCAAAAACCTGGTGAGTCTAGTGTGTGTGTGTGTGTGTGGAGTTGTGATCAGTAAAACCCCCCTGGGGCAAGGAAAGATTTCCATCCTGTCCCTAATTGTCTCAGTCCTCCTGAGTCACTGTGGATGTTCACTAACAAACACACGTCCAGCTAGAACAGGACGTAGCTCTAGTTTTCGGCTGAGACGGCCAAAAAGCCATCGGAACACCAAATATCTGCCGGATCTAATTCAGCCTTATCCTTAAGCCCCGGCAGGTTTTCTATAGAGGCGAAAGCTTTATTAGAAAAATCTGATACCGTTGTGTGAGGTCTGTCACTCCCACTGGACACTGTATCAACTCACACTGAGACCAGGAGCTTGAGATTTTGTATTGTGTCGTATTTCAACACCTTATATTAAAGAAATATGAGCAGCCGCTTGACCTGGATGTCCAGATGTAATCTCTCAAAACTTTAGCAAGGTCTGCCTTCCTAGAATACATGGGCAGCTTTACACACAGAGGGAGGCCTTAACAGTAATTTGCACAGGGGACTGACTTGTCTCATAATAGATGGTTTTATGTGATTTAGCAAATTAAAGATTGTGGGTCAAATGTTTTAAGGTATTTCTTCATTACCTCATTTATTTGATTCAGCGTTTTATCGCCGTCATTTATTGAAGAAAAAGAGCAGAAAGCTCACACGTGCACACAAACACACAACAGGATTTTATCTCATCACCGCTGGCTTTTCCTGCAGCTTTAAATCCTTCAGACATAACCTTTCAACTCTCGTGTCTCTCTCCTCACCATCCTCCAGTTCCAGAACATGAACAACATCATCACCTTTCCTCTGGACAGCCTGCTGAAAGGGGACCTGAAGGGAGTCAAAGGGGTAAGAAAACTATGCAGTATGTGGTCTGGATTCATTCTGCAACAGGAAGTCGTAGCTGAGGTCATGAATGGGACTGAGACTTGTGAGTCATCAGTGACCGTAAAGAAATACAGAGAGTGGACCAGGAGTTTATTTAGCCGATGAAAGCACTGAATCATCGTTTGTTCCAGTCCTCCTCACTAATATGTTATTAGCTTGTACAGTGTTGTGCCCTGGAGGAGACGGTAGTTATGTCGAAGTGAAAAACTGAAATAATTGGCAATTTCTTAGAAATAATTAATCAGCTTTTTTTCTGATTACTGATTTATAACCTCTTACTTTGTAAGGGAAGTACAAATGAACTCGGCACAAACCAGTAGTTTGACGTCCATTAAGCCTGTAGTCCCACGCCAAATAGAAAATTCAATATAATTAACTTGAGCTAACTTTAGTGTTTGGTACCAGGTTTTGTTTTATACCAAGCAAACTATTCATGATTCATACCCAGTTCTACTGTATATATATTGGAGCAGTCCATTGGTTAGTCATGTGAGTCCACCAACTGGATTAAATCCAGACAGACATTTGCTAACAGTTTCTGCACCTCTGTAATGCAGTCAGGCCTCATTACTGTCTGTTGCCGACTGTGACCTTTCACTCTCGAGGCACATGATTGGCTGCGGTTTTCACTGAGGTATGATGCGATTAAACCAGCTCTCTAATGAGACCAGTGTCCATAGAAACCCCATTCGTTCCTGTGAGCCTCGGCCATTTGACTCAGTCTCGACCTCCGGACCGTTTGTCCTCTTTTGTCCTTTCCTCTGAGAACTGCGGTGTTTTCTTTTCAGCCTCCTCTCTTCACTCCCCACTATTTCATTTCTTAATCTTCTTGTCCGTCTGGTGTCTGCTACTGTCTTGTCCTCTCGTGTCCTTCTCCCTGCCCCCACCCCTCACATCTATAATACTTTACCCACTTACTTCTTCATTAGCCCTAGGATGATTCTCATTACCCCACTGACATGGGGCTACTGAGCTGCTGGTTACTTTATACCTCAGGGCACGCACACACACACACACACACACACACACACACACACACACACACACACACTCTCTGACAAATGTCAATGTTGTAATAATGTCAGTAAACCTTGGAAATTAAGTTTTCAGTGTCAGGAAAAGTAAAGTAAGGATAAACATAGAGAGCCATCCAAAATGAAGCATTCGATTAGTTCTTGTCTTGGTTAACAGCTATAATCTCCCTCCCAAAGTGTTGCTCACCTCCACAGCCCAGGCCCTTTCCCTCGGCCCTCCGCTCCCATTTATCATCTTCCTCTTTCTCTGTCATTATCCAGTTCCTTCACTCCTGTCCTCTCCCAGGGGAAGTACCTGTTGGAGAGGGGAAAGCAGGGAGACGTCCAGACCTCTGTGACAGACTGTTTAGATTGCAGAAAGAGGAGGAAGGAGATTATGATGAAGTAATGGAATGATTTTGGTGTCATAAAAGAGTAAGAAAGATATATGTGAAGTCTATGGAGAGAAATTAGTCTCAGAACTAGTGACAAATGCATGTTTCATGACACATCTATGCTAATTTGTGAGTAATTCATGGAGTTCACAAATGCATTTTCAAGACTACCGGTCAATTTGAATAAAGCTTGACAATATCCAGATTCATTAATCTAATAACATTTGCTTTTGAAAATCTTACTTTGTTTATAGATGTTGAGAAACATACTTCTGCACTTAGTTTTTTGTAATTATTTATGTATATACGTGTCAGGCACAGCCTCTATGTTCTATGTGTTTTACATAACAAAAAAGTACTGTCAGTGAATGTAAAGATTTTACTCTTGGTTATATATTTTCTGATCAAAGGAATATGAGTCATTTTGTGTTTTGAGAAAATGTATTTCCCACTTCCCTATAATTCCACATGAATGTGTTGAAAAGCTGGACATCTGAGTTTACACCAGCACAACACAACATGCCTTTATAGAGGTTAGGTTGCACACAAATGTAACCTAATCTGCACGTACTATGTGATCTATGAAAATGCATTAAGCACATTGTGACAGAATGGAAAATAATTTCTCTCCATAGAAAGCTGCAACAGGGATATTGAGCATTTGCAAAGTAAGTTAAAGCCAGACAAATACTGTAAAATGTGTGTGTAAGGGGGAAAAAAAAAGCCAAAACATGTCATTGAAAAAGTAGTCAATGTATAACATAACCCTAAAATGTCATTCCCAATTCTAATTTGATTCCTAATATGGAATCTTTAAAGGCTCTGCAATTCCTTCACCTCTGTGATGGCTACATAAGTCACCAGATGAAATCGTTCAGTTGATTTAACTGAGGAACTAATGGCTTTCTGGTAGCCTGCTCCAATCTGAGCTTGTTAATATTCTGCAGTGCCGTCTTTGGCAATGAGTGCAGTGAACTAGCCCCGAGGGAGGCAGCCGCTAATGGCTCTGTGATTAGAGGGATGCCACCTAGCTACCTGTCAACGCTGTTACTCAAATAAGAACCCTCCATTTTCCACCTCATCAACCTCCATAGCCATGTCACAGGTAGTTTGGGATTTTACATGTAAGAACAAAATTACCTTGTGGTTTGTTTGTTTTTTAAAGTTTTCATACTTCTTATAGTGTTGATGAACTGGGGGACTAAGGAAAGCAGGTGGTGGATTTGGTGCTGTGAAAAGCCTTTGTCTGACAAATGCTTTAAATAGTCTTTTCTCTCAGGATATAGCTTAGTCAGTGCACTACTAGCAAAAATGGTGGGGTGGTGTCCCTGGAAAGACCCAGTGGTGTTATTGCTGAAGGTAAAACACACACTGTACACACTCCCAGTCAATGTAACATGGAAAGTGCTGAGTCCACAAGACCGTTCTGCTAACGGCAGATTTTCAGAGTGGACCCGCATGATGTTGTGCCTCCAGTGGACCCTCTCATCTCCTGCTTACTGGCCAGTCTCTGGGCCTCGGCGCTATGTCGTCTTTGGACTGAGTGTTGTGAGTCCAGGTGTGTTCCACCACGTTACGGTTCGCTGTGTGGTAAACACCAGAAACCACATGTGGGTGTGCTGTGTTTGACATTTTAGATAAACTTTATTTATATAGCACCTTTCAGAAGTTACAAAAGTACTTTACATGAAGAAGAGAAGGGATAGAGGCAGATAAGACATGTAAAACTAGTGAAAACACAACAGGCCCAGTGATGCTTAACTTGACAAATGTGTGAAGTTTTACTACTACTATGGCATAAACTCTGGGAAAGATGAGAGGAACTGCTCTTCCTGCACATGTGTGGTAGTAGGTAAGCGATAAGTGTGCAAATGGAGGCTTTTGTAAGGGCGTGACATTCCTCCTCTGTCCTTTAGGTTTGGCCAGACAGTGAGCCAAGGCACTAAAAGCTTGGTGCTCTCTCAGAGAGTGTTTTGCCCTCCACTTTGGCCGTGCTCCGCTCTGCCCTTCCCTGCCCAGCGATGCCTGTGTCTGGCATTTTCAGCCATTGTTACCATTTTTCTCCTTCTCTCTGGCTCTGGCATTTCCTTCCGCTTGCCCTCTCTTTTCTCTCTGGCTTTCTTGTGACCTGCAGTTCTTCACTGGCCCATTCTTTTTTTTTATACTCTCTTTGCTTCGGTGATTTCTGTCCTGGAGCTGATTGAGTGAATGGCTGAGTGCTCCTTGACCGGGCCCAGTGAACCAGAGGGTGATCCTGTTGGCCGACAGGTTGAACCCGCCACTCCTCTCTGTTGAAGTGGAGGTCAGCAGCGAGATCACAGTCCTCTCTGGAGCTCTAACAACAACACTATACAGCCATAAGCTGTTTGTCCAGCCGAACAGAAGTATGTGGGCTTTCCCACCCACATAAGATGCACGGATAAACTGTGGGGAGAGAGGAACCAAGGGAACAAGACAGGAAACTGACACAAGACTTCCTTTCCTTGGGTCTTCATGTGAAACGTCCAATCACAAACCGATTTCCCATAAAGGGGCAGGTCAATCTGTAACAGACTTCTGTGAAGGATACACTCATTTATCCTCCTCAGCATTACCACGATCCTTTTTCTAGAGCTGTTTGTCATATGAGAAAAATATCATTCCAGGACTTTATTTTTTACTCTTGTTTATGAACCTAAACTTTCTTCTTTGTGTGTGTGCGTGTGTGTTTCGCAGGATTTGAAAAAGCCCTTTGACAAAGCCTGGAAGGACTACGAAACAAAAGTGTAAGACACTACACATCTCATCAACAGCTCTTTACGCGTTAGACGTTGTTTTAGTTCTTTTGTTGATATAATCCTTAAAGCCTTGTGATTAGACCGTCATCGCTGGGCTACATTTACAAGTTCAGCAGCTCTCATTTTGCTGACATAAGACATAACTGTGAGGCAGTGTGTCAAACTGAAATGTGCGGTCAGTGTTGTCTCTGTCTGACTTGTCCTGACTAACTGCTCTCCTTCTCTAACCTCACCTTGTGATTATCTGTCAAAACATCCCTTACAGTGTGAATAACCAACCCTTCCCTGTCACCTTTCCAACTCTAAACTGAGACTTCATTCTGACTGTACATGCAAGAAACACGACTTTTTATAGAACTTTCATATGTTTTCCAAGCTGCAAAGGACATTCTTTACTGAAAGGGTAATACATCTCCTCTCCAAACCTTTTTGATCAGACAGTACGGACTTTGTACCGACATCAGCCGGATGCTATGTGACCGTTCCTCTCTGTCCCAACTTATTCTCCTGATTTGACTCTATTGGTGGCAAACTGAGGCCATCAATAAAGTCCAGTTTTCTGCCTAACTGAAAAACCACCCAAACATCCTGACACTCTTCTTTATCAGTCATCCTCCGGTCGTCTCTGATCTCTCTGCTGTCTGCTGTCACAATAACGGACTGTTTTCATATTCACAGACACAGAGAGACATGAAATGATTTGGTATTAACACAGGCATTGAGTTCCTGATTTCCTTGATTTGGTTTGCGATCCCTCTGCATCCTACACCCGAGTGTGAATTCTGCCTTCAGTCTCCAGAGTGGGGATCAGCTCACTTTGAATTCTGTTAAGTCAGGAAGGAATGCTTAATGTTTAATTCTGTGACTAAAACCAAGTCATGTTGTCCTAAATTTAAATGCAGAATGCATGTAGGAAAAGTCTAAGTCCAGTATCTTGATGTTTATTTCCAATTTGTTGAATGTCCTCCTGAACTGACAGTACTGAAAGTGAATGGATTGTCGGCCTCCTCACTGGCTGGTGGCCAAACAGCCTGGCTAACATGTGTCTCTCTATTAGTCACAGTCCTGATGATGCTGTGACGGTGTCAAGATTGAAGATTCATGTGCTGACAAAGGCCGGCAATAATACTCGCAATGAAATAATATTTGGCTTGTTCGCACAGGCAGAATAACAAGCTGATGACCAAAAACCAAAGGCTGCTGAAACTTGTTGTTGTCCTTCAGGTGTGCATTTCAGATTTTCCCAACCATGTCTGAGATGACATTGGTAAGAACAGGATGAAAAGCAAAAGCGTGAGGAAACCAGGTTTGTCTTTTTTACCATGCCTCGCCCGGCACCATTAAACAAACAAACCTCAAGTCTAAGATAGCATATGTTTGCAGAAACACACTTCAATACATAGCCTTTGAGAACATGCCAAATTTTATTTTATTCTCACATAGAGCCATGACAATTAAAAATACTGCTTCAGCTCAATGTCGCTGCTGATTTAAATGTAAAACTGTCAAAATATAAAAGCAAATACAAACCATCTTGCTGTCTTAGGCCTGCTAGATATTTATTGTGCAACAGCGGGAATCCAGAAGGACATCCTGTACTTTTCCTTTTACTGTAACAACATGAATGACAATATAAAGCAAGTAACGTGCTAGTCAGGAAGGAGTGTTGGAGGAATAGCTTGACATTTTGGGAAATGAGCTTATGATTATTATGATTATTTCTTGCCGATAGTCAGATGAGAAGATGGATGCCACTCTCATGTCTGTACAGTGGACATGTAGCTACAGCCAACAGCTGGCTAGCTTAGCTTCGCATAAAAAAAAACAGAAAGAGAGGAAACAGCCAGCCTTTGTCTGTGCAAGGATGACACAATCTACCTGTCAGCACCTCTACAGATCACAAATTTGTTTGATCTGTACGACAAACCGAAGCGCACAAATGCAGTTGTGATTCTTGACAAAGAAAATAAGCAAATGTATTAAAATATTGAACCGTTCCTTTAAAGTAGTTGATATTTTTATATCATGACAGAAGATTTTAAAAGCTCGTGCCGTCACACCACTTCCAGGCAGATAACACATGTCTTAATGCACAGAGAGGACAAACTGCTGCTGCATCCTTTTTGTAGGGGATATGCTGTCAGAAGAAACAGCATATGGAAAAGAATGCCCTGCTGCATGGAATGGTGCCTCCTCTCCTGTGTGTGGCCCCTGTGGGAGACACTGTACGCTGGACTTTTGGTCTCTGTGGAAAATCAGCCCTGAATACTGATTGTCAGTCACCAAGCCTTTATAATCTCTAATACAGCAGTACACATAACCATTGATTATGTATGAAATTAATTTATATTGTAGGATTTGAATCTAAAACCATAACAGACATTCTCTGCTTTCTATTTCCTTTAGCCTCAGTTTGTTGTAATCGATGAGAAGTTGCTAATAAGCTTTATGTGGATAACGGAGAAGACATAGCAGGGAGACAACCATTCTAAACGGTTTTTACTTGATTTATCTACATTTGTGCTAAATCATAGTTAATGCAGCTTTAATTTCACACCATTTCTAACCTTATCGTTAAACCAAATCATCTCTAAACTCATAACTGTTTAACTGGTGGAACTGTGAAGCTCTTAAGCTGCCAGCTTTTCTCATTTAATGCCAGAAAGCACAAGGGCTGATTTTACACACTACCACAGTATTTATGTCCTTGTGGCGCCGTCACGGACGTGCATTGTGCTCTCTCACATTTTGTAATGTCGCCTCCTGGCAGCACCAAGATAGAAAAGGAGAAGAAGGAGCATGCAAGGCAGCATGGGATGATCAGGACGGAGATCAGTGGGGCAGAAATCGCTGAAGAGATGGAGAAGGAGAGGAGATTCTTCCAGCTACAGATGTGCGAGGTTGGTCTTAATGATCGACGGAGTGTTTTTTATTTGCCTCACAATGTTTACTAAGCAAGGAGTGAAAATGATAGTTAATTCTAATGGAAGATATGCACGTAAAACATGAAGAGTTTAACTCCTGCTGTCACCGCACATAGTGCGTATTGTGTAACAAGCCTGAGTGGAGTGGGGTAATAACATTTTAACAGCCTAGCTCCTTCAAATGTCTGTCTTTGTCCGAGTTAGATAAAGGTGGACTATTTTGGAATGGTTGCATACAGTAGCCTGTTTGAATACAAGTCTTACATTAAATTTAGTATGTTTGTTTGGTCTGTGCTGATTTTGATGTTATGTTATAATGAAGCTTATGAGATGGAGCAAGTTGCCTTTCCCTTGGACTGAACCTGGACTCGCCCCGTCTTACTGGATCTGTTTTCAATATGTTTACAGTATCTCCTCAAGGTCAATGAGATCAAAATCAAGAAGGGCGTGGACCTGCTGCAGAACCTCATCAAATACTTCCACGCACAGTGCAAGTACGGCATACAGACCCAAAACATACACAGAGCAGCCATAACATTATGACCACTGAAAGGTGACGTGAGTAACGCTGATTATCTCATTACAGTGGGCAAGTGTAAGGCTCTGATTTTAACTTTGACAAACTGTGATGTCTAGATGACAGAGTGTCTCCCAGACTGCAGGTCTCACTGGGTGAACTGGTGACAGGGTCATGGACGCCCAAGGCTCACTGATGATGAGGTCGACCTACTGTAGATTAAACTTTTAAACTTTGATGCCCTAGATTTAGTTTGAATCTTTGTTAAAATGGGCAAAAATGAGAAATACTGTAAATTGGTCTCGATGCGAAGAAACATTCAGTGTGTACAGTGGTGAAATCACACCTGGGGTGGGGAGGCTGTTGAGAAATTCTCTCTAACTTGTCCACAGTTTTCACTCCTTTTACACAAGTTTTTCACTGAACTGTAGACACATCTGTGAAGATGCACAGTGACCTGCAGACTGATACGAGTACCAACCAACTGCTGCTCCAGTATTAGGCAGGTGGTCATAATGTTATGGCTGATTGGTGTAATGCACATACAAATGACTTAAGGTTGTTTTGTCATTTAATTTATCATACACATGTTATAGTTTAGCTATAACATAAAAAGTGTCAGTTTATGCCAGTTAAGGCACTCACTTACAAAAAGAGCACCTGTTTTGCGGCTGCTCCGTGAGTATGTTCGTTCTACGTTAGGAGATGCAGTAATGAGCCTCTTGTTCAGTTTCTTTCAGGACGGTCTGAAAGCTGTGGACAACCTGAAGCCTTCCATAGAGAAGCTGGCCACAGATCTGCACACAGTGAGGACACCAGCATCCATGTTATATAGCATTCTTCTCTTACATTTGTCCTGCCTGATTTCCACATTACCTGTCCTCTGTTTATTCTCTCCTGTTTTCTCTGTCTTTGCTCAACACAGATAAAGCAGGCGCAGGATGAGGAGAGGAAGCAGCTGACTCAGTTACGAGATGTCCTCAAGTCGGCACTACAGGTGGAGCAGAAAGAGGTAACACGCTGAAATGTATCCACACAAATTGTCTTTGACCGTTCAGTGGTGAAGCACATGTCAGTCACATAATTTAATCTTCTTAATTTAGGTTATATGTACCAACAATCCTCGACCTCACTACCAACTTTCAGCTTTTGTCAGTAAGGGGTCCACACCATATTTCAGGAAATTCAAGAGATAGATATCCAAGTGAGATTCTTGTTTTGCAGTAGTATTTCCTATTTGTGTCACACTTGCCTTTCTGTTGTTTCCATTTATTCCCTTACCTAAATGAACTGAGCCCCGCTCTGTGCTTGGCGAGCTTTTAAATATGTTGTGCACGTCAGCGGCAGCTCCTGGTCTCACCTGAGGTTTGTTTTCTTCTCTCCTCCGCTGCCTCCCTCTCTTGTGATACAAGTCTAGGAGAGTAAGTGGAATTCTTGAAAAAAACCTTTTCTTGTGGTTGTTTGCATCCTGTCTTCACTCTGGTGTCATTTAAGTGCTACATCATTTCTTGTTTTCTGTCCTTCAGCAGCAGCAGCAGATAAAACGTGTGTGTTTGTGCTTTAGCTATTTTGTTTGTTTTGTTAAGTTGAAATGACCCTTCAGTGAGAAAAGCTGGTGCTGGAGCTGCAGTCCTGCTCTTCTGTCGGGTGTATGTGACTGCTGATAGCAGCGCACACCAATAAAATCATTAAAGCCTCGTCACTGCTCGTCCCCTCCGTTTCCCATAGCGCTTCCAGACAGGAAATGACCGAACTTGTTCTGGCTTTTGCTTGGTCCCTCTTTAAGGTTGTTGCTGTGTTGCAGTTAAAACCTGAATATTCAAAAGATAAATCAATTTGAATTAAAGATTGTTCTCGATGCATATGTTAAAACGGCATCCATGCTTATAATTAAAATGCTGTTTCTCCTATCAGAATTACTAATGAGACTAAAATGCTAATGAGAGATTTTGGCTGCCTGCTGCTGTAGATTCAGGCTTCAGAGGTGTAAAAGCACCTTTTATTTCCACTCCTTCCTTATGTGTTCGAAATCATTCAGGCGTACAGCAGCAGTCTTCCTGTTGTTTGCTGTGAAATTCTCAGAGGAGCAGGAGACCCCCCAAGTGTGAATCAGAGCAATCAGCGCAGACTTACAGATCCAGATGCAGCTCCTGCTTTTTGTGCGTTTTTAAAATGTGTTTAAACAGCCCTGATTTGTAGTTTGTTTGTTTGTGTGTGTTTTCCTAGGATTCACAGGTGCGGCAGAGCGCCACCTACAGCCTGCACCAGCCGCAGGGGAACAAGGAGCACGGCACAGAACGCAGCGGGTACCTGTACAAGAAAAGTGACGGGTGAGCTTTTAAATAACTTAGAAAGTGTTGAAATAATACAAATTTACTGTACAAAATGTGTGCTGAGGTCATTTAAAAAAATTATTAATAAAAACATTGTAATATTTTTATTCTAGAAAATCTGAATTATGCTCTCTTGAAATGACTTCCATAATTAATCAAAATATACAATTTATACTAATATAAAATGTGAAAATCATTGTTGTAGAGATTTGTAGCTACAAATGTTGGTGTTTTTTTTCTTTCTGGAAAGATTATTTAAACAAACAGGTTTCAACATTATTGAAATTATTGTCTGTTGATCAATTCATAAATTACTCTAACAGTTTCAGCTCTGGAACCAATTATGCAGCATTTTTATTTCAGTATGAAGAACTAATGTGTTTAAATCCCACTTGTAATGTGCTCTTTTTAAATCTAAATATTTGAAACATTTTGATATTTTCTCTAATGTGTCTGTGCTATGACTTCACTGTGTCACTGTCTGTGTTGCATAGTAATCACCATCTTCTGTTTGTCACAGGTTGAGGAAGGTTTGGCAGAAGAGAAAATGCACGGCGAAGAACGGATATCTCACCATCTCACACGGCACGGTGCGCAAACAGTGACACTTTTTTGTCTCTTCTCAACGGATCAGAAGACAGGCTCGATGTGTTTGCGATGTGGTTACAACTTTTGCTCACTAGCATGAGCCATACATCTCCATACATCACTTATCGTTCTGTGCCCTGGCTGTAGGCTCTCTCCATCTCTTGTGTTCACCATTATCCATAAATATGTCACCAGCGAGCAGCAGAGCTCACAGGCCAAGTTCAGATGTTAACATTCTTCGAACATCGCTGCCTCAGCTGAGTCTCACTTGACTCTGTTTGTTCCCATATAAAGATTTAACTTGGGCTCAGTCGGCTCCTCTCATTAACAGTTCGTCTCACACGTAGCAGCTTATCAGATGTTTCATTTGGCTCCAGCAACAGTCGGATAATATTAAACACAACACTCTCACTCATTTATGTTGTTGTTTTTCTCCCTCCTCCCTTCCTTTCTGTGCTTCATCCCCTTCTCTCTGACAGCCTAATCGACCGCCAGCTAAACTCAACCTGCTCACCTGCCAGGTGAAGCACAATCCTGAAGAGAAGAGGAGTTTTGATCTCATATCTCGTAAGTTCAGCCCTCTTTGTCCCTTCTGCCTCTTTATTTCTCATTTTCTAGGTTCCCTTCTTTATTATTACCTCTGGGGTTATGTTTTTGCTGGCATTTCTTTGTTTGTTAACTCAAAAAGTAAGAAGTAGGGTATGGGGAGGAAGTTCAGCCCCTAGACACAGCATAATTTACAGCACCTATAAAACACATTCACTCCCTTGCAAGTTTTCACCTTTTATTATTTTACATTATTGAATCCATTTAATTTGGCTGCTTCACTGGTTACTCAGTTCTTGAGGACAGCCAGCTCTAGACAGATTTACACATGTGCCATATTCCTTCCATTTGTTAACGGTGCTTTTAACTGGACTCCAGGAGATATTCACTGCCTTATGCTTTTCAAGAACCTTGTCGTGGAGTTGCTTGGAGTGTCTTCATGTCTTCATGGTGTAGTTTTTGACCAGGCAGTGATTCATCATTGACTGGACTTTTCATATACATGTGTATTTATGTGCACACAGGTGACTATTAAAAACCAAGTGCCTGCACCAGTGGTGAGTCACTTTGTTAAAGGGGGAGAATACTAAGATTTTCTGGCTTATATTTTTAATTAATCTAGATTACTTTTTAGATTTCTGTTTTCACTTTGACATGAGTCTTTTACTGTTGATTAGTATCAAAAAAAAAAAAAAGCCAAATTAAATTGACCACAAAATCAAAATCCTCCGGCGTGGGTTGCTTTGTGGTGTAAACATAGCTCTGGTTTTCCCTGGTTGTTGGTGAGAGGTTCACATCTGAAGACGGAGCCAACAGAGTTTTCCTTTTTGTTTTTTTCTGGTCAGCATTAACCCTCATTCTGACCTTGCGTTGGGATGCTTTGATGCCCTCTGGAGGGAGTTGCTCCGACTTCGTCTCCACTACTTTGTGATCAATTTTATGGACAATGATACACCGGTCAACAGATTTGAGGATGTAGTAGAGAAGTTTAATAGGTTTTTTGTGAATGTGGGTCCTGGTTTAGCAAGTAGCATTTGTACAGATGTCATTATAAATAACAATACAATTGAAAGGAATATGTGTTCTATGTGTTTCTGAAGCCAATAGTTGAAAAGGAAATTATAAAAATAGTGAACAAATGTGGTAATAAATCATCCAGTGATAGTGATGGTATCAGTATGACAATGGTTAAATGGGCAATTGAGGGGATATGCAAACCATTAACCCATATTTTTAACATGTCGTTTCGACTTGGGCAGTTCCCCAATAATATGAAAATAGCAAAGGTTATTCCACTGTATAAATCTGGTGATAAGCACAACTTCACAAATTATAGACCGGTTTCTCTGTTGTCACAATTTTCAAAAATCTTGGAAAAACTCTTTAATAACA